ACTGTTTTGGTTTTGGGGCAACTGGGTTTTTTTAGGGGGGGACTGTTTGGGGGGGTAGGTGTGTTGGATGGTTTTGGTCAGTGGGTTAGTGGATTTTTGGAAGTGGGGTACTTTTGGGGTGGGGGTTAGTTAGGTTTTGGGGGTGGGTACTTTTGGGTGTTTTGTTGGGATTGGTGTGGGTTACCAATTTTCCTGGGGGTTTTTTTTGTGGGGGGGACTGTTTGGGTGCATGGGGTGTAGTTGGTCGGTTGTGGTCAATTTGGGTGGGGTTTGTGATGGTTTGTGGGTTACTTTTGGGGTTTTTAGGTGGGTGGTCTTTGGTCGGGGGTGACTGTTTTTGGGTGCATGGGACCAAAAGATTTGCAGGTTGTCTCAGATTTCAGGTTTTATTAGAATTGTCATGGTGTAATTTTTGGTTTTCTGGGGGTTTTTAAGGGTTTTTAGGGGGTTGTAGGAAATTTTATTTTTTATATTTTATTTAATTTTTTTTTTATTTACTTTATTTTTATTTTATTTTATATTTCAATTTTTTTTATTTTTATTTATTTTTATTTTTTTCATTACTTTTATTTGAGTTTAGCTTTTTTGGTTGGGAGTGGTTTGGTTTATGGGTTTTATTTATTTTGGGTTTGTCAGGGGGTGTAGTGTTATGGTTTTTGTCAGGGGGTGTAGCTGTTTGGTTTGTAGGGGTGTAGCTGTCATGGGTGTCAGGTGGTGTAGCTGTCATGGGTTTGTCAGGTGGTTTTAGCTGAGGGGTTTGTAGGGGGTTAGCTGTTAGTTTTGTCGGGGGTTGTAGTGTTATGGGGTTTTGGGCAGGGGTGTACTGTATGTTGTGTCAGGTGGTGTAGCGTCATGGTTGTGTCAGGTGGTGTAGCTGTTTTGGTTGTGTCGGTGGGGAGTGATGTTTTGTCAGGGGGTGTGCTGTTATGGTTGTGTCAGGTGGGGGTAGCGTATGGTTTTGTAGGTGGTGTACGTATGGGTTGTTCAGGTGGTTTGCTTCTGGTTGGTCAGGTGGTGTAGTGTCATGGTTGTGTCAGGTGGTTAGCTGTTATGGTTGTGTAGGTGGGGTAGTTTGGGTTTTTTTTATTTTTTGTCAGGTTTTGGGGGGGGTTTTTTGGTTTGGGAGTGGTGTTACTGTTGGTGTGTCAGGTGTGGAGCGTATGTTGTGTCAGGGGTGTTGCTGTTTTTTTTATGGTTGTGTTTTGGTGTGTAGGGTTTTGGTTATGGTTGTGTCGGTGGTGTGCTGTTTGGTTGTGTCAGGTGGTGTAGCTGTTATGGTTGTGTCAGGTGGTGTAGCTGTTATGGTTGTGTCAGGTGGTGTAGCTGTTATGGTTGTGTCAGGTGGTGTAGCTGTCATGGTTGTCAGGTGGTGTAGCTGTTAGGTTGTGTAGGTTTGGGTAGCTTTATGGTTGTGTCGGTGGTGAGTGTTATGGGGGTTTTGGGCAGGTGGTGTAGTGTTATGGTTGTGTCAGGTGGTGTAGCTGTCATGGTTTCAGGTGGTGTAGCTGTTATGGTTGTGTAGGTTGTAGGTATGGTTTTTGGGCAGGTGGGGTAGCTGTTATGGTTGTGTAGGTGGGTGTAGCTGTCATGGTTTGTCGGTGGTTTTTGCTGTCATGGTTTGTCAGGGGGTGTAGCTGTCATGGGTTTTGTCAGGTGGTTTAGCTGTCAGGGGTTGTGTCAGGTGGTGTACTGTATGGTTGTGTTGGGGGGTGTAGCTGTTATGGTTGTGTCAGGTGGGTCTGTCAGGGTTTGTAGTGGTGTACTTTTATGGTTGTTCAGGTGGTGAGCTGTCTGGGGTTTTGTCAGGGGGTGTGCTGTATGTTTTGTCAGGTGTTGTGCTGTCATGGTTGTGTAGGTGGTTAGCTGATGGTTGTTCAGGTGGGTAGCGTTTTTGGTGTGTCAGGTGGGGTTCTGTTTTTGGTTGTGTCAGGTGGTGTAGCTTTGGTTTTATGGTTGTGTCAGGTTTTGGGGTTTAGTGTTATGGTTTGTCAGGTGGTGTAGCTGTATGTTGTGTCAGGTGGGGTAGCTGTTATGGTTGGTCAGGGGTGTAGCTGTCAGGTTTTGGGAGGTGGTTAGCTGTCATGGTTGTGTCAGGTGGGTAGCGTTTGGGTTTTGTCAGGTGGGGGTATGTCATGGTTGTGTAGGTGGTGTAGTGTTATGGTTGTGTCAGGTGGTGTATGTCATGGTTTTTGTCAGGTGGTGTAGCGATGGTTGTGTAGGTGGGTAGCTGTCATGGTTGTGTCAGGTGGTGTAGTGAGGTTTGTGGTGTTTTAGTGTTTGGGGGTCAGGTGGTGTAGGTTGGTTGTGTCAGGTGGGGTTAGCTGTTATGGTTGGTCAGGTGGTGTTGTGTTAGTTGTGTCGGTGGTGTAGCTTTATTTTGTGTCAGGTGGTGTAGTGTCATGTTTGTCGGTGGTGTAGTGTTTGGTTGTGTCAGGTGTGTACTGTCATGGTTGTGTAGGGGGTGACTGTTATGGTTTTTGGGAGGGGTGTACTGTCATGTTGTGTCAGGTGGTGTGTGTTATGGTTGGGGTCAGGTGGTGTAGTTTTTTAGGTTGTGTCAGGTGGTGTAGCTGTTATGGTTTGTGGGAGTGGTTTTAGCTGTCATGGTTTTGTCGTGGTGTAGCTGTTTGGTTTTGGGCGGGGGGTTAGTGTATGTTGTGCAGGTGGTGTAGCTGTCATGGTTGTGTAGGTGGGGTAGCTGTCATGGGTTTTGTCAGGTGGTGTGGTGTCTGGTTGTGTCAGGGGTGAGCTGTCATGGTTGGTAGGTGGTGTAGTGTCATGGTTGTGTAGGTGGTGTAGCTGTTTTGGTTTTTGTCAGTGGTGTGGTTATGGGGGGTCAGGTGGTGTGCTTCATGTTGTGTCAGGTGGTGTAGTGTTTAGGTTGTGTCAGGGGTGTAGCGTAAAGTTGTTTCAGGGGGTGGCTTTATGGTTGTGTCAGGTTTGGGGAGTGTCATGTTGTGTCAGGTGGTGTAGCTGTTTTGGTTGTGTCGGTGTGTTCTAGGTTTTTCTGGTG